TGATGATCACATTTGATATATCTGCAATTATAATGCTCGCCGGCTCGGATGAAGCAATATCGAATTAATCTTGCGGCATCATCGAATTCATATGCTTTGGATCTGCGCGGGAACGCGTCCGCGCGCGCGTCGTAAAAGAACAAAAAAAAAGAGAGAGAGGAAAGAGCAGAACGGAAAAGAAAAAGAGAGAGAAACCGGCCGAATATCGCGCGAGTATCGGAGCGGCTAAGTAAACACGAGAGCGAAGAGGAGCATCCGACATTCGGTGCCGGTTTTTATCCGGTGCGCTCTCTGCGTTTCGGGGAACGCAGTTGTGTACACTGTCGTGGTCTTCATTTACGTCTGCCGGCGAGTCCTTCCCTCGTCAGGTACCACCTTGTCGCGAAAATCGAGACACCGATACTCCGACCGCCGCCGGTCGTGTCAATAAAGGAGATAATCATGTTTGTCGCGAAAGAAATTCGAAGGGCAAAGTATAATTCTTGAACATACATTTTAATTGTCATAAAACGATGCTTTAGTTTCTAGGAAATAGCACGATATACCTATACCGCTTGTAATATCGATGTTTGAAATGCGATTAAATATTGCGGGGGATTTATTGAAGATTATAGTTTCCAACGGGGCTTTATTCAAGCTTATGACACGTAGAATTCGAGCGTGGAATTTAGTTATGTTAACTTCGGCGAGGCTCACCATTGATCGGTTGCTCACGGGGTTTATTTCTGTCTCTATATTTCCCTGACAAAGCCAGGTTTCGGATAACACTAAAGTCAATTTGTCGCACGAGTGAACGATACAGAAATACATAACGTAGAAAACTGTCCTGGATAATTTCGACAGCAAAAATTTTAGAAATCAATTCCGACAATTACAAAAATGAAATTAACGAGGATGCAATAATGTGATACATTTATTTGTCCTTTGTAACAAACTGACATATTAACAGATACTGTTAAAAATGTAAATTAATACTATTAAAATACTGTTAAAACTATTCCAAAGTAAAAGACAGAGAGATTGTCGTTTCGATCTGTTAAATATCACGAGAAGGATCGTATTTCTTGTCGCGAGATCCGCATGCTGTGCATTAATTAAACGGAATACAGGTCTACAGGTGTTTCGGAATTATCATTAATTCGATATCGACAATTCTTCGGCGTTTCTTCCCCCGCTGCCGGATCTGCACAGATGATCACCGTTCGCAGCGGCGATGCGAGATCGTCTCGTTACTGCGTTCGGCCGCGTAATCCGATCTCGCCTCGGGCGTTTTCCTGCTTTCGCGAGTTAATTGATACCCCCTCGAATGCCGTAATATAAATCGCGTTCCCCCCTCCCCCCCCCTCCCTGGTAGAATCGCCGATCCCGATCGTTAAAGATCGATCTCTCCGTCTCCTTCTCTCTCTCGGGCGCGCACTGCACCTCGCCTCGCCTCTCGCCATGGTGTCGGCTGCCATTCACCGTGAAAACCGTACGTACACTCGCGCTCTGGTCACCGACAAGGTCGCGCAAGGTCGCGCAACCATCCTGCATCCCATACGCGCATACGCCATATGCAGCTGTGTGCATGCGTGCGTACGTGCGATGCAGGTGGACGATATCGGGACGCGAGGCGATCTCCGCCGGGTAAATAGGAATCTAAAATTGCGTTATCACAAAAAAAAAAAAACGACTCTGCATCGATTCTTAGCTGTACAGTTGAATCAAATATTTATTTCTGATTTTTCGTAGAGTAATAAAATTTGTTGTATCCGAATAATTGCCGTTTCTCGTTTCGCCGGATCACGAAGGTCCCGTCGATTTATCTCCGCGTTTCGCACGTTGCAGCCATCTACATATATGTAGTGTGATTTGCGCGCGAAAGCACCAGCGGGTCCGGGTATCGATCCGAATGCGTAGAAAATGCTATTGATTCCCTCGGCCGACCCGACGACCTCTTCTCTCTCTTCTCTCCATGGCGACGATCCGACTGGAGAGGACCGAGGCTTTCCTCCGTTCTCTTTTGATCCGTTATTTTCATCTTGCTATATATTACGTGTACGTGGTTGTGATGCAAATGCCAAAATAAAAATGTACGTCAAATACCATGAAAGATCTTAAAATCTCGTATGAGTAATGTCATTATAAAATAGATTCTACCAAAACCAAGTAAATAAAAAATAATTTGTTTTAAATCTTTACGAAAAATACTCAAAAAAGAATACTCGTAAGTGTTTAAAAGGGTTACAATACTGTAAAAGTAACATGCATCGTTATCAAATAATGTATATGAAAATAATTAATCATCGCTTTAGTGAAAAATAATAGAAGTGAAGAAATTGCAAATTAAACTTGAATGGAAACAGAGGAGAATATTTTAATCTTTATTTAATTTCAATAGATCGTCTCTCACCTCTCATCTAGAGATAAAATGTCACGTACGTGATGACCGCAATTGGAAGGGGTGAGAGGAGAGAATTGCATAAAAGGCACACACGAGCCGAGTGACTCGCCTATTCGTTTTCTGCCTACGCCCTCCAGGGTCGTACAGCCCACGTTCATCCTCCATCGTATTCCCATCCTTTCTTTAGAGTCGCTTTCGCGTCTTTGAACACTCGGTGCACCTGCTCCAATGCTCTTTACTTGCCTAAAGTATTTTAGTTTTTGTACTTTAATTCGAAGATATCAATCATTTCGTGACGTTCGCCGATAACAAAGAATTATCTTTTAACGATTATTATATATCTATTAAAGTTGCTATCGAGATTCGATTAAGATATAAAACCGTTAGGTTTAACAAGGACATTTCTTTCATGTTACTATTATTCTGCGACAGATCACGAGTAAGACGGGCACGATAATTCTTGGCCGATGAGGAGCAGAGCAGCACGAGGGCGAGTAGTAGAAGGAGCAGCAGTACGAGCAAGAGCGAGCGGCTTCGTCGTCGTAGAAGGAGGTGGCGGTGTGGAGAAACAGAAAAAGGAACGAGGACGAAGTGGCGGCGGCAGCAGTGGCAGTGGCAACGGCGGCAAAGCGGCGACGAACAGCCAGGTCCCCCCATGTTAGCGGACATCAACGGCAACCTGGCGGATCTGAGAAGCGAAGCGATGGCGTCGCAGAGATTTTGTCTGCGCTGGAACAACCACCAGAGCAATTTGCTCTCCGTCTTCGACCAGCTGTTGCACGACGAGTCGTTCGTCGATGTCACGCTGGCCGTTGAGGGCCAGTTACTCAGGGCGCATAAGATGGTGCTGTCGGCGTGTAGCCCCTACTTTCAGGTAAGTCCGATTTTTTATATCTAAAATTTATTCAGATTAACATCTCAACTTTAGATGATTAAATCATAACATCGTGACGTGCCTCGCCAATCATTTATAATTTTGCAATAAAGAGACAGTACTTCGTAGGTTTTATGATGGATCATAATTGGATCCTATTGACATTGACACAACTTTTTGAAAAATAAATTGTAATGTATAGAATCGCTACGTGCAACTTGCAGTTTACTAAAGAAACTGATAATTTGTATTTACAGGCCCTGTTCGTTGGACACCCCGACAAGCACCCGATAGTCATTCTCAAGGATGTTCCATATGTGGACATGCGCAGCCTCTTGGACTTTATGTACCGCGGCGAGGTGAGCGTCGATCAGGATCGACTGACCGCTTTCTTGCGGGTCGCCGAGTCCTTGAGGATAAAGGGCCTGACCGAGGTGAACGAGGACAAATGCGATTTGCCAAGCATCACGTCCTCGTTGCTAGGTGGCAGTCAGAATGCAGTGGCACCGCCACCGCCCAGTCTCCATCGGATCAACCAAATCGGTCAGCATCATCATCATGTCGCGCAGAAAAGGTTCCATCATATGTCCAGCCATCCGTTGCTTGGCTCGGCGCTGACGGCGCCCAAGAGAAAACGTGGCAGACCCAGGAAGTTGAGCGGCTCGTCGGACACGCCAATTGGCGAGGTCGGCGGTCAGGACCTGCAGTCCTGCTCTGGCGCTGATCTAGTTCAGGGCTCACCCGAGATGATGGAAATGAAGATGGGATTGGACTTTCAGAGCGAGGTCAGCGGTAACGGCAACGTGAGAAGCACCTCCTCCAACAACAACGCCAATTCTGCATCGGCCGCCAATAATCCCACCGCCACGGCCTCCTCGGGATCATCGTCGGCGAGGAGAGATGAGCCTACGGAGAACGGTACCGACACACCGGAACCGCCAGTCACGCGGGTCAAACGAGAACCGGAACCGACGCCTAGCACTTCGGCGCAAGGTATGAAAAACGGAACGCGATGATGTTCGATGTAACATTGAATTTAAATTCGAGAACTCGAGCTGATCATCTCGTCGTTGTTGATTCTAGCTTCGGATGAGACATTCGCGCGGCCGCACAGTAGACAAGGGAGTGAGGGTTTCAAGCAAGGTAAGACCTTCAGCTTACTTGACTTCGATACAGAGAAGCCTTGCATTGCTAATACTCCCTGATACAGCGCAAACGGCGAATCTCATACAGTTTACACGGATTTTATAGCGTATCTTATCTACCAAACGGAGAGCTGCGCGCGTTTGTAAATTATAATTAATTAGATGATCGATTATACATTATATATCAACTATTCATGCACTATTTATGCAGTCAATTATGCAGACGTAAATATGTACTTATTGTTAGCGAAATATTAACTCCTTCAGATTTGACTGTTCTTTTATACATGGTAAAGCAATTGTTTCATCAATGGATCTTTGGATTCATTAAAGTTTAGAAATATTTCTCTTTACTTAAAAAATTAACTTTAAAAAAATAGAATTTATATACATATGTATAGATCCGTTGGAGTTAATTCTTTATGTGACCCTCGAACGAGCGCAATGTTGCATAGAAACTGTTTCTTATTATTCTGTAATTCTAATTGCTGATTTTGAAAATGCGTTCTTGAAAATTATACAAGGTAAGTCACAAGATGTAACGTTAAATGCAACGTGCTTCTGAGGGTTAACTATAATCACATTTTTTTTTAGTGAAACGCGTTTTACAAATGCAAAAGATAATGAACTCTAATTGCGTCTAATTACGGAACGATACCCCACCAGATGTCTTAGCATGGTGTGAAATGTGATTCCCATAACGCGGGCGCGGAGAAGAATGTTAGATTATCTTGACTTATTGTATCTTAATATTCAGATCTTAAAAGTGAAAAAAAAAGTTTATATAACGGCTGCTCGTTTTTAAATAATAACTGCAAAATTAAGATGTAAATTCAACGCATTAATTCCGGATAATAAGCCGAGTTGTGTACGTCGTCGAATATTCTTCTCCGTGCGAACCCAAAGGACGGGGAAAGGAACTCGCTTTTGTGCCGTCCGAATGCTTATTCGTTTCTTGTGGACGCGCCCCGAGGAGCAAGCAAGCAAGCGAACCTTGCGCGGCATTATGGACGACGCTGTAGACTCTCTACGTGAGAACGACTCTTACGGCTCTCTCGCACGATTCGTCGAGGTCGATCGACGACGTCTGAGAATCTCAGAATCGGAGAAGCCCAATAATCCCGAGGGGCTCCCTCGATATTTTGCAATCAACCGAGTCTCGAGACTTCGCGTCACACTTCGCGACCAGGCGCTCGCGCGGATCCGATAAGACGCGCGTCGTCGCCGTCGTGGACGACGCTTTATCCTAATGTGCTGCTAATGAATTTGACTTTTCAGACTTCTCACGAGCTGCCTTGCCGAGCGGCTCGGTCAATCGTTGTCGCAACTCCTGCAGGCGCGCTCCTTCCGCAAATTTTTTTTTTTACTTTTAGGAGCTAGCCAGGACTCGCGACCCTCGCGAATCACACGTCATTTCCGTAAATCCGCGATCCCGTTTAATCGTGGCGCGCTGACCAGAGTTGAGGCCGCGCTTCGGAATCTCTCGCGTTTACCTCTGTGATTTTCGAAACAAAACGCACACGAAAAGAAAAAGAAAGAGATAGAAAAAAAATCACAATTTCGACGCGAGAGAAAAATCTACGTCCGGAAGAAAAAAAAGGCAGTGTAAAGCAATTTCCCGACGAGATAAAAAACAACAGTAAAAATAATTTCCATTTTCAAATTCAAACTCGAGCGGTGTGTCTGAAGGTAGCCGCACGTGGGATGTCATTATATCGGTACCGCGCGCGCGCGGTATTCAAATCGCGAGGAAAGACGAAAGTCGAGACAAAAAGATGTGTAGTAAAAAACAGACGAAAACATGCACATATATGGAAAAAGAGAGAGAATGAAGAAGAGAGAGAAAGAGAGAGTGAGAGAGACAGCGTGTGAAAGAGAGAGAGAAAAAGAGAGATAAACGGGAAGCCGTCGTCTCGTTAATCGAGAACTCGCGTTTGGACCCCGGAATGTTGTTACCATGACACCCCATGAAAAAAAAACCTGGAAAGGGAACTCCCCTCTGTGCGAACGTCTGCGAAATTAATTAATCTCTAATGAAACCCATTGCACTCGCGCCGCCGAGTCGTTGTTCTCGTCGAGGACATACATAATATATATAGATACATCTAATTACATACATATATATAGATATATATAACCCATACGTAATTCTCACGCTCGGCCAATGCGCAGCGCCTCATTTCCTGTCCTCCCTTCCGCCCCGGTCTCGGTAGCACAGAATCAGCCACCTCCTCGTCTTTACCTCTTCATGATCAAATCTGTGTCTTCTCTCTGCCGCACCGCACCTGTCGCCTCTCTGTTCGATGTCTCGAACCTCTCGCCCTAACCCTTTAACTTTTCCGCTAACATCCCCATACCCCCCCTGCCCCCTCGGCTCTTCTCCGCACGAATGGAAAAAAAACGCTTCGCTGCCATTGGCCAATGGTAACAGGAGGGGGTGGAGCCAGCTTTTAGCGGTGCTTACTTTTTTTTTAATTGTTGTCTGATTTTTCACATCTTGAACGCTGGTTAACTTCTTTTACGCTCGTTCGTTGCGAGGAAGATAGAATAGAGAATTTCATTCTTTTTTTTTCTTTAATCGCGAAAAGACAAACGGCAAAGAAGAAGAAGAGAGAGGAGAGACGTAAACGCGTCGATGATGATTACGACGATGATGATGAGAATGTGAGTTAAACAACGGACGACGCCACATTGTCGGCAGGTTTATCGTTTCCGTCTTCTCTTGCGTTCTTCTCGTTGCTTTAGACGATAACGACGACAATGAGAAAAGATGAATAGCAAAGATGAGAGATTCTTATCGCAAGAGTAGAAGCAGGATAGATAGATTAATATGTAAAAATAAAAAGAGGAGTTGACAAACCAGAGAAAGAGAGAAATCAGAAGAGAGAGAAATAGTGTGACGTACGTTTCTTTTTTTTCCTATTTTATAAAAGAGATGTATTTACGTGCGCGCGCGCGCGAGAGAGACAGAGAGAGAGAAAGAGAGTGCTTCGAAGATGTCGTCGTCGGAGATGATCTCGTTTCAATAGTGACCGTGATCGCTTTGTTCACTTTTGGCGCAGGTGAGTTGAGATTTATCTGAGTCACCATCATTCTGAGAGATTTTTAAGCTTTGCGCGGGGGAAGCGAGGGAGCTAGGGAGGCCAGCCGCTAGAAAAAAATAAAATAAAATAATAAAACGATTGTAGAACGGAAGAAAGGAATCGAAGTCGAAGTCATAGATGCATAAAATAGATAGAACGAAAAGACGGAACCGTTCCGAACGGAGTGCCGGAGTGTAAGAGAAATGCCGGATGTTAGAAGGATGTGACGCCGGAAGTCGAAAAAAAACGGATAACGATGTTTAGAAGTAAATCTACGTGTTATAAATTCGAACCGAATTGTTACGAGTCTGAATAAAAACACGCAAGGAGGAGAAAAGAGTTGCTTTTTTTTCTCTCGAGCGTCATCGATCTCGATGGATCGTTTTCCCGTAGAGATGGATACAGGCAGACTGACTGGACGTACTTTGGACCGAAGGGGTTGGGGGCGGGGGGGGGTTGGTTGAAGTGTGCACATGTGTCGCTGGGTAAAAAAAATCTATTTGATTTATTTTAATCAATTTCGCATATGCGTGGATCGCCTGATACGCCGTGTATACGGGTTGTGTATCCGTTCGAGGGCCACGGCCCTTCCTGCCGATCGTAGATTCCAAGTCGGGGGCACCATTTCTACTACTCCCGTCTCAGGATTTATACAAGCCGGAGTGGACTTGTATTTTGTTCGAACGTCCCAGTAAACACCCAAGTATCAATTATAATTTCTCACTCAACGGTGTAAATGCAATATAACACATATTGCATTTACATTGTTGTCGAGCTACAAACTATACGAGTCGCGAAGTCATCGCTTTGATCGGTCGACTTTGATCGTCGAGGAGCGATCCTCGACGTTCGAACAATCGACGCGATAATGCTCAGCTTCCCCTTCGGAATCTACGATCGCGCGGAGCCATCCCGTACATACGCGGATATCCTCTATGGGCTTGTACGTGTGCTCGCGGGTGTGCAAGCGCGTGTGAAATGTTCATCGGGTGAATGGGCTGAGGGGGAGGGTGGCGTGTGCATGGCGGATGCGTGAAGATACGAGGGACGTGTGTGTGTGTGTATGAGATAAAGAGAGAAAGAAAACGCGTGAAAAGCTAGGAGTTCGGGAGAAAGAGGGGAAAGACTTGACGTTGCCGGGAAACTGTTCGGTTTTGCAACCGGCGTGAGAGGATGCGTGAAAGTGCATAAGAGTCTGTCTGTGAGGGGGATAGAGACGACGAGCGGGGGAGGGGGGACGGGGGACGACATGGAGAGGGCGTGTCGTGGAGTTATCCTTTTAACGCGGGACAGAAGTTGACTGAGACGGCCGATTCGAACACGGTGACTCTTTTTTGCTGGCTCTACCCTTCCTCTTGCTTCCCCCCACAAAAATATAGAAATACGTTGTGCCAATACAGTACATCGTACACAGAGATAGTCACGAGATGCGCGGTAGAACTCCGTTTATCAGAACGTTCGCGGTGGAATTTTGTGCGACGGAAACGGATCGTGTGCCAACGGTATTCCTTACCGTTATCGTAAGATGTAAAGATGACTTGGGGTAAAGATTTCCCCAACTATACGTAAAGAGTCAAGAGACCGACCTGTGCTGACGAGGATTCCTCGGTCATTGAGGATCTCTAGTACACGAAAAAATAACATTGGGAAACCGATAATTCCAAAAGTCTGGAATACTATCCGTCTGTGATACCATTCTGGAAAAAACTCGTATTACGAGCAAGAGCTTAAAGATTGGCCTTCTGATAAACGTACTCCTACCGCGCATCCGAATGCTTGCACGACATACATTATACCGTGGCGCGGGCGTGGAGGGCGATTTAAAGGATCGAGGTCTCTTCGTTTCAGAATTGGAGGAGACGTCGAGCGGCGGTGGCGATAGCGGCGGCGATCCGCCGACTCATATCCGCATCAACTTCGAGCGATGCTTTCGCAAGGAGTTCAGCACGTCGACGCTGCAGGGTAAGACCGCGTCGACCGCCGCCGCGATGGGCGACGATCAGCAACAGCAACAGCACTCGGACACCGAGATGGATACGAAGGCGATGTCGAAGGACAGCATAAGCAGTGCCATATTTAGCGTGATGGCCGGCGAGGCGGAGATCAGTCAGAGCGACTTCGAGGGCTCGTTCAGGGCCGAGAACGAGCGCACGGAGGGCTCGGTGCGGGACTTCTGCGTGAAGGAGGGCGACGTTTATCGGTGCACCGTGTGCAATCGCACCTACACACACATCAGCAACTTCTGCCGGCACTACGTCACCTCGCACAAGCCTAACGTCAAGTACTACCCTTGCCCGGTCTGCTGCAAGGAATTCACCAGGAAAGACAACATGGTCGCCCACGTCAAGATTATACATAGTCAGAAGCTGCCGTACATGAGTCTCAGCAATAGTGGCAGCAATAGTAGCAGCAGTATGGGTCAGCCGCGGTAGACCATCGCCGGCTGGGCGCCCTCGCATCCTGCCTCCTCCCTCAGACCGCGTTTCTCCGACCTCGCGCGTGATCTCACGATGTCGGAAATGCTGTAGATCACGATATCACGTCATTTCCATGATAGCTATTACGAGATAGATTTTCGAGAGTTTGACACCAAGATTTTCTATGTTACCGAAAAGCTTTGATACCGGTGATTAACAGATAGAAAGGACGAAGGTTTTAGAATTGATGGTGTGATCGTAGATTATTGTACCAAGGAATTATAGGTAGGAAGAAATGATCGCGTCTATGACGGATGAACGTCATAGGCAGGCTCGTGGGCCTGATGCGTTTGCCAAGAAGACAAAATCGAAGAACGTGAAAATGAGGGAGGAGGAGGGAGATAGAGAAGCTCAAGAGAAGCGCGAGGGAGGTCAGTAACGCCTCGAACGAAGTCGGTGCGCTTCTACGAGCGGAAGGAGAGAAGGACGATAGATAGACACGAGTAAGCGAGTAAACAAATAGGTAGGCAAGTGGCTGATCTTGTGGCTATACCGAAAATGGCCAGAGTGGGTGTTTACGCGGAGAACAGGTGGGTGTGCAAGACTCAAAGCTATGAATATCGCCGAAGCACACGATTCTTAGCTTTCGCGCGAGCGTTTTTCATGGCAGGTCTTTCCGGTATGCGAATTAATCATTTGGACGAATCAATCATCTCTAATTCATGGGGTAAACATATCTCGCGAAGGATGTGTTTCGCCGTTCTAACATTACACGACATGCATGTTGCATGAGACTAGCTCAATATCTTGATACCAAATCTATGCCTTGGAAGAAGAGTCGTATATTCAGATATCAAACACGTGCAGTACTTTTCTACTTCCAAGCCGCAGAATTCTTTTTTTTTTTAGGAGCGCTTTAGAGACACGCGATGTCGGTCAAATGATTAAACGAAGCTGATCTACCGAGTTGCATCGACGTTGCGTAATCCGCGATGCGCGGGTCTGACCAAGTCCAGTAACCATTACGACAAGCAATTATTAAAATAATTTCGATGCGATATTTAAATGTATTAACGAACCGTCGATTGACGGATCTCTTTGACGGTATCTTTTTAGCAAAAAGATCTCGGGCAGCTGCGTACAAGCGATGTTGCTCTGAATTTTATCCCTATTTCAGGTCCTGGTCCCGATCTTGGTCCTAGCGTTAGTCCTAGTTATCGTTATCAATCTCCGTGCCTTCGTGGACCCACAATGCGCACGCTTCAGCATTTTGCGTTACGCAACGTCCGTCTTCTTGTGAAGGATCGAGCTTCAAGCGCCGGAAATCTTCAGGAACGATTCGCGCGCGTAACAAGCAACGGGCATTAAAATTACAAAATGAACGAGCTTTATCGTGTTCGCCCCCGAAGAGAAAGGGCGAGGCGGATGTAAAAACGGGAGACGGAAGTAGGAAGAGGCTTTATACCGCATCATAAGCAAAGAGTTTATATAAACCTAACCGATGCGTCGTCTCAACGCGGTTCAGCATCGTACAACGGGTGATCAGTTGTAAAAAGGAAACCGGTTGTCGCGTAGCAAAGTGAGGTGAGGGGCGAGTAGGAGGAGAGGCATCGTGTAAATCCAAATCAACGCAGATAGAGAGAAAAAGTATATTTACTATTGCCTGACTTATATTACGTTGCAGAAAGAATCAAACACGCCAGCTGACGTAGCTCGGCGATACATTTCTATGAAAATATGGTGCGCGCGCGTGTTTTATGTATCCTTCGTTCGCGTTCTTCAAACGCAGGTCTCTTCACGCCTGGTTAAAAAAAAGAAACTTTCGATACTTGATATAAGATAAAGCACGTCGAAGTTATCTTCTCAAAGAAGTAACTTGAGGCGATTACGTTATGTATAGCAATAAAAGAAGCTCTTGCAAGTCAAAGTTGAGGATGTTGAGAACACACCAATTACATATAGTAATTTGTTACGTAATTATTGAATTATTGAGAGAATTCAACTTGTAGGAGACTTGCAGATTCTTATCTTTAATAGTGGATGCGAACCAGGGTGAAACGTGCGCGCGCACGAGCGATATAAATAATAAGGAAACTACGTAGACTGAGTAAATGCAATATATATGTATCGATGACCGTTCGCCATGTTGTTGTTGAGCCGTTTGGGTCGCGGAAGGGAATGCCGCGGAGGCATTTTCTGGGGGAGCGGCGATGAAAGGGGCGGAGGGACGGTACGGGGGAAGCGCGCAATCTCGCGAAAGACTGCAGAGGGACGGTTTTAACGACACCAAATACAAGATAGTACTGACATTGGATAGACTGAAGGCACCTTAGTAGTAACTTAACGCCGCCGCCATGCCGGACCGTCCTGTCCTGTTCGGCTGAGTCCATTTCCGGATGTCGACGTGAACATCCGGAACGCTAAGTGGAGAACGCGGTGAGCCGGGTGATAA